TCACTCATACAATAAAGTATTAAAAGGTTTTATCTGATTTTGATTACCCACAGGGAGGAGGGTTCCTGAAGACCTTTCTTCAGCCATCTTTTATCACTGGGAACATTAGAGTCGTATTTTATCAGCAGTCTTCAGCTCATAGGAAGCGGCTGAATAAGCTCATTAGGAGGACCAGGTCTGTCCTAGGACGCCCCCTGGACACAGTGCAGGGGCAGGGAGACAGAAAGACTGTAATGATAATGAGATCACTGTTGGACCATGTCCCCCTCCTCTTCATGCATGAAGCTGCTGCTGAACCGGAGAGCTGGTTCAGTGAAATACAACTGCACCCCACGTGCACAAATGAGCATTATTGCAGATGGTTCCTTCTAGGTTTATAATCTCCACGGCCCCCAGCTGGCCCACTAACTGTTTACTGTCCTGCTATTAGTTACATGGTTATTATCTGCTTAGTAAGGGGGTTGTTAAATCATTATCGTTGCAGTATTTGCATAGTTTGGCTTCTATTTGTACCCTTTTTACTAGCCCCATATGTGCTTTTTTTTTTTTAAACATACAAGCTGTTAGTTGCTCTTGTTTTTCATTTTATCTGTAAATTGGCTGCTGTTTTTTTAACTTAATCTGGGCATCTTTTTTTTTTTTTTTTTATTACTTGTCAATTTTCCTTTCCAAGATGCATTTTCCACTTTGTTGTTCTATTTATTTAAGGTTTCCATTGTATATGTATAAGACGAACCATAGTCTATCATTGCCCATTTACTGAGCTATATGAATATTTGGCTATTCTATTCTTTTCTATTCCATTCCATTCTGTTCTGTTTTATTCTTTTCTTTTCTATTCTAGTTTGTTCTGTTTCATTCTGTTCTGTTTTATTCTATTTATTCTGTTTTTTGTTTTGTTTTGTTCTATTCAATTCTGTGATATTCTGTTTCATTCTCTTCATTCTGTTCTTTTCTATTTTCTTCTGTTCTGTTTTTTTATACTCTAATCTATTCTGCTATATTCTATTCTATTTATTCTGTACTATTGCACCTGTTTTGTTCTATTCTATTCTATTTTACTCTATTATAGAAAAGTAGTCTTATACAAAACAAATGCCAACTTTTGTGATTTCCCCCTGACAAATTGACTCAATTGACTCAAAATAGAACATAATTCAATGGCCTAATCCCCATTCAAGACCTGGGTTTGATTGGTGGAGTAGGAAGACTTAATTTTACTTTGTATAAGACAGGTACTGTGTTTGTCATGCTGTTGTTATATTATAAAAACATGTGGGAAAAAAACCCTCTCCTCTCAACCGGTTCACTTTTCCTCAGATCAATCTGTTTCAGTTGGTTACATTAGATTTTTTTCATGAGTATTAGAATAAAAGGGGTGAATCCGAAAGCAAGCCACACTTTTCAGATTTGTATTTATGCATAATTTTTCTTCTGCTTCGCAAATTTGTGCTACTTGGCATTGGTCTGTTGTAAATACACTCATGTTAGCAGTTTTTAAAAAAAGACCAGAAATGAATAGGTTGAATGGATGTGGACACTTTTGGAATCATATAGAGAATAATATCCCTCAGAGCAGATGGGGGTCAAAGGACAGCGGCTGGTTGTTGGTCTCAGGAATTTAACATTCATGCATGCTGGGCAGAAAGCAAAGACGGGAGGAAATGTAAACAAGAAATGTTGAGTGACTAAGGAGGAGTAACAAAGCGGCGCTGGGCTCGTTGTGTCGCTCTGAATGCCTCCTTCATGGCCATGTTGTGGGGAATGTGCACCATGCGACCCTGAAACCATGAACATTGTGCAAAGGCGTGATGTTACAAGTTCGGCTCCAGCTGCCTCCCCTCGACCCTTCACTCCCACCAACCCACAGATACTGACGCACACACTCTGCTGTGCAAAAGCTTCCTTCCTGTTGCTGGTTTAGCCCAGTTTAGAAGCATGATAAGAGCGAACGAATGAGATATGTAAAACAGAGACTTGAGCTCAGAGGCTGATGTTGTCTTGTTTTTCCACTCGAGGCAGAGTATGCTCTTTCTTCTATATTTTACTTTATTGTTGAAATATATCTGATCCCTTCGTAGGCTTTCTGCAGGTGCAGTTGTGTTCTCCTCTAACAGCTTCCCTCTCCTCGGTTACATTTGTCTTTGTTGTTCTCTGGCAGGTTCAGTCAGACCACAGGACAGTTCAGCCACCACTTCCTCATCAAGAATCGAAGCAGAGCAACATGAGTTTCCTGTGACGCCACGCTGTCTCTGGTCAATTAGTGTAGCTGTTTGCATCCCTCCTCCTCAGACAGGCTGTTGAGTACATCTACTGTTGCCAGCGGAGAGTTTCTCCCCAGGAAGACTCAGAAACACCTCCTGCTTATTCAGATCTATGTTGGAGAGATCTCTGATGTTGTTTCCATGACGTTTGAGTTGAACCAGGACATACAACCATGCTTCAGCAGCCGGAGCTCATCTTTGACTTCGCCAGCGACCATTTTAACTCATCGCAGGTGTGGCCTTCTTTCCTCACTTTCTTACTTTCTTTCGTTCTTTCTAATTCAATGAAAACCTCACAAACTGCAACCTTTCTCTAATTTTCAGATGGGGAGTTATCTGGAGTACCCTGCAGTAGTTGTGGAACAGGTTCCTCATCAACACCTGCTGTCATACACTGGTCTGACCGATGAACAGTCACAGACAGAGGATCACCATGAGCTACTTAAAGGTCAGCACACACTCAGTTTCCAGACTTTCTTCACCCGCCTGATCACATCAGGAAGTCCTACAAACTCTACAGCTGTCTGCCACTCAGCTGGACGCTGCTCAGTTAATCAAAAATATTAACAGAAAGTGTGTTTAATTCTATTGATCATGGTTGACAGTAAATAACGTGCTTCAAGAAGTAAAATATCACATGAGATCACTAAAAAAGATATTTTATATAGAAGTGTTCACAGTGAATAGTATTATCCCTATGTGATCTATAGTATACATATACATGATATAGTGTATATATAGTATATACACTAGGTACTTGGTTGGGGCTCCTTTTGCTCTGCTTTAATGTGGCTTGTCAGCGATGAGCTTGTGTCTCTGTTTAGCTGCACAGGAAGGTGCGGCTGTTTGAATATCAGCCATGAGATCATCTGCATTGTTTAATCTGGTTTTTCTCATCTTCCACTGAACATTACCTTCAGATTATCTAGTAATATCCAGGATTTCAAGTGTGTTTGCCAGTCAGGCTTTGTATTACTGTGAAATATTAAAGCTTGTTTAGGCATTCAAAAGTTACACATATAAAGAAATATTGCCTTTGACACTACGGAGTATTAATTTGTTTCGAATATTTAGGTCTTAACCTATTTTCAGGTAACCTGAGCAAAGTTTGTGACGCCTCGTGGCCAAAAAAACACCTTTTTTTTACGGAATTGGGCAACTTTTTACGTGCCTAAGGGGGCCCAGTGATGCTGTTTCATTAATGGAAGAGCAGAAGGTGGTTAAAGCAAGAGAGCTGGTTTCGTCTCTAAAACAGACATGGCTACTGCTTGATGCTATAATGTTTGTTAGCTGTTAGAATTCAGTGAAAAAAGTCAAAAATTCTGAAAAAACTCAAAATTCTGAGAATATAGTCAAAATTCTTAGCCTGGGTGCCAGTCCGAACTTAGTCCCGCCCACAAGGTTTGAGTTCGGGGAAGTTCGGTCTGGCTCTGCTCCATTGTAGCGCGAGTATTAAAGCCCACTGTCAGGCGATCCAATCAAATTGTCAGGGCGGGCTTTATACGATGATGGACAGATGATCAAGAGTAACGT